GCTTGTCGTAATGGACACATGTAATCACAAACAATTGTAATAAGTTAGGAAAGTCTTTCACTTGTTAAGTTTCAATAAGATTAATACAAGATTAACTCAACTTGTCATACACATAGGTTCAATACGGGGGCAGCACGATACATTCGCTGACCACGGTACAATAGTCTATAAGAAACAGTAAATGATAAAATATAAATTGGGACTTATATAAAAAATATATATAGTAGATTATAAGTAATATAATATGTAACTAGAATAATTTATTGTTGGAAAAGGAAAAGGCCCCTCGGCCCTTTTCTTTTTTTGCGTAGGGAGTAATGTAATGTAAGCGTAGCAAGTGAGTGAGAAGTTGGAATAAAGGGATAATGGAACAATAAGTAGCATAGAAAAGATAATAATTATTCGAGATAATTATTATATATTCCAAATTAAATAAGGGATAATTAATACAGTTAACTTATACATTTAAATTATACAAAGTATAACAATTGACCTAGTTATGGCATTGTTTGATAATTGTTTAAACGTATAAAAAGCACGAAACTATTAACAACAACAGCCGTGACCCAAATAGGCAGCATAACGCCAAAACTGCAACTCAGCGAACCTACGACCTTGGTACTAGAACCGGCGTTGAAAGTACGACCACAATAAAACAAGAAAAAACGACGGACGCCAGACAGTCGGTAGTCAGTAGTCAGTCAATCAGTAGTGATAACGGGGGCGCCGTAACTGCCCGCCCAGGGCAGTGATCGCCGGACGCGATAGCGTCCAGTACGCGAGACAGTCGGTGATTTTCCGGGGGCCGGGTATCTTCTGTCAGAATTCGCGTGTAGTCCGGTTATTGTGGCAGCTCGAAAGTTCGCAACCCTCAACTGACCGAGTTCCAGAAGACTGAACGTGTCGTGGTTGAAGCCCTAATATACACATAAGGTAACAGATTTCTTATACTAACCTGTGTAATTATATTTGTACCTCTGTCAACTTTTCACTATCTTGCTACATCGTCTCCCGACGCGCAGAATAACGTGTTAACGATTGTATTAGGAACTTCAGGGTAGATTCAATATATTGTTGACTCTAATATGGTTTTTTTTTAATGTTCCTTCGTCCGACTCACTAGAGACTAGGAGAACACGAGAATTCTGCGTATACATATCTCCGGCTTCAAAAGTAAGCCCATAACCTCTACTCTTTACAGGACCTGAGACCGAGGAGTTCTTACCCCTATCCCGAAATCCCTTATCTTCTCGTAAATCCACGAAGACGAGCCAGCCCTCCAGACCAGTGTGACCAGTATTCCTTGCAGCCGCTCGCAGGGTTAGCATCCCTTGAGGATCTATTGTATTTTACATTTGGTGACAGTCTTTTACAGGACCCTATACATAGAAGTCCTTAATCCCTTATCACTCTCGTAAATCTTTTACATAGGGCAAACTCTGGTAATGATCATTTAAAAGAAGACATTTTAAATTGCGGTAAAAAGCTTCATATTTTAGTTCTGAAATCAAACTGAAATAATTCAAATAAGTTGAAGTATTATTCAAGAAAAAAATGTTGAAAAGATAAAAGAAATAGAGTTATTTTCAGTCTTGGACGACGAGACAATGGACATATCTAAAGTTGAATAATTATCATTTTGTATTAGATGAGATGTATTGATTTTACTGGTGATAAGCAAAAAATACAAGGAGATTTTGACGAGATTTATTCCTATGTATAAGTTAACTCGCAAAATCTATTTTAAAGTATATTACGAAACTTGGATTGGAATGAATGATTGTGTAGGGCAAGGATATCATGGTGCCTCTAATATGAGTGGCAAGTATAAAGGTAACCATACAAAAATACACGAATTGTATCCTTTTGTAATCATTATACTCACAGGTTCAATCTTGCATTGTCCACTATTATGTCAATGACTAATATAAGCAATTGTTTAGATATTGAATCAAGTAATTAATTTTTCAGAAAAAATGCTCATGCTAGCAAGACTCTAAAAGATGCTATTCAAGTACACATTCCAGATTGTAAAAAGAAAAGGCTTAGTAGCTTGTGCAAAACTAGATTTATTGAAATCTACACTAGTTTATTGACTTGTTTGAACTTATATGTATCAGTCCATATTATCCATATTTATTTAGTGCTATTAAACGTACCAAAGATACTATTTCTACTCTATAAGATTTCACAAAAAAACTCCGAAATTGATATTGAAAATCACTTTATTTCTGCAACTAAATTATCTAAAGATATTTTTGGTACTGAGCTTCAAATTACAAAGATTAAGAAGTAAAAGACTCAGATATAAGCATCCAACAACTTCAGTTGAAGAAATTTTAGTGTCAGTGTTCATTCCATGCTTAAACAATCTAATTTCTAGTTTAAAAGAAAGGTTTATCAACAATGAAGACATTTTGACTTTAATTACAAATTCTCCTTCCTGGTTTTGCATCTCCTGATAAAGATAACCAGTTACAAAGCTATCTCCATATTTTGAAGATAAATGTTCTCAGGAGAACATTTATGGCAGAACTAAAAGGAGAGTATTTAATATGGTGTAAAATAATAAGAACTTAAGACTGATATAGAAATTTTGGAGTTTTGTGATGTGTTTTTCCAGACATCAGTAGACTTTCTAGAATTTAATTACTATTCCTGTACTACGACCAGTGTTGAGTGCTCATTTTCAACTATGAAGCGAGTAAAAACCTATTTGAGGAATAGAACCGGTAAAGAAAAGGCTTACTGGACTTGCCCTACTGTCGTATCACTGGAGTATTGACGTCAATTTAGACAATGGTTTAAATATAATGGCAAAAAAGTAGAAAAATCAAATTATAATTATATTCACATTTTTCTTCTTTAGATAAAATTTAAATAATGCAAATTTAACAGGTAATTATAGCCGTGCTTTTCAAATAAAACTATCCACCTTAAATAACTTTTGAACATATAATTTTTAGGAAAGGCGCAAAAACACGCCAAAAAATATTTGAAGATGGAAATATTATGTCATATTTATGGTTGCTGCGAAATGCACCCTCTCAATCCCCATAAGACATAAAACATAATATAATGGAGCTCCTCCACACTTTGCTCTACCTGTGCAAGAATTTTAAACGAAACTTTTCCCGCTCGTTGGATAGGTAGAAGAGAACAGATGATAGATTGGCTACCTCAGCCACCGGATTTAACACCCCTAGACTAATTCTTACGGGGTATTTAAAAACAAAAATGTATGCTATTCAACCAGAATCTCTAGATGATTTACAACAATTAAATGCAGACGTGTTAAGCAATGTCAGAGAAGAATTTCAAAATAGATTGTACTAATGTACGGAAGTGAATGGCAGTCATTTTGAACAATTGTAAACAATTCTGGTAGTGAAATGTTCATTCTAAATGTTAAGAAAATAATTTTTTCAATCCAGTTGACTTGATTTTGTATATATTTTTCTCATAAACTAATCAATTTAAACATCATGTATTATACATTTCCGAAGTCAGTACAAAGAGGAGAATCCAAATATTAAATTAAAAATGGTGGAAGTAATTTAAAAATAATTAAGGGAGGATACGGGGGATGAGAGGGTGCTTTTCCCAGCAAGATTAAATATGACATATTGTCTCCCCCCTTCAAATATTAATTACCGTGTTTTTTTCAAATTTCCTAAAAATTAGAAGTTTAAGTTATTTAAAGTGGATAGTTTCATCTAAAAAGCATAGTAGGTATTTTAGCATTTTAGTTGAATTTGAGATACACTGGTTGTTCTGCAAATTTGAAGAAAGTTCTTTTTTCTATGGTTTCCTATTGTTTTTTTAGCTGTGGTTTCGTTTTTAGTAAGAATTACCAAAATTAATATTTTCATCTTAGTATTCTACAACAGATGCAAGATATTTGCGATTTTTGCAGAATTACAATTAGATTTAAAAATGCTATAATTTATAATTACGCAATTTAAAGCATCAATTATTAATGTTATTCCAAACGCCACTTGGATTTAACTTAAAATAAAAATTGCATGTAAAAATATTCTAATTAATTTTATAACATAAAAAGTTGTATCATGTATACATTTTAAGTGCTAAGATAAAGAATTAAAAAGAACCAACTTTACTATCAAAGCTAAACAATGTTTGCTAAACATGTTGCCTGAAAATGGTGTCTTCATATACGTGATTTCAACACATCTTAGTAAGAATGTTTACTGCATATACATAAAATAATATTTAATATATCACAGTCCTTTAAACCTTTTACCTGAGGAATATTCTGTAAGGTTTTCAACTTAACGCTTTAGTACAGTGAATGAAGGTAAAAATCAACTATTACCTCCGATTTCGGTGAACCTCCATCGATTTGCATGAAAATTTGGGATTGAGTATATTTCACCCTCACTTCAAAAGTGACATATGCTCAACTTGCACTTTTTGCATTTTAGGGGTGAAATCCACCCCTTTTGTTAAAAATGGTAAAATATGCAGATTTAAGCATTTTGGCATAAGTAATCTCGATTAATTAAATAAAATAAATATTTTGCAACATTTATAAGAATAATTTATGATTTTAATTAATTTTTTACTTTTAGCAACTATTCCTTAAATCTAAAATCATGAAAAAAATATTTTTTATATTTCTGAAATATCAAATAGCATATTAATATTACCCAAATAGTTTCTTTAATGTTTATGATATAATTTTTGATTGACTGTGAAATTTAAATACTTAAAAACCACCCCATAAAAGTAGAATCATTGAAAAAATTAAATTCAAGAAACTTTAATTATTTGAATAATACATTACTGAATTGAAATCTTATTTACTAAGTATTAAAGTATTTATTTATTTATTTATTGCGTATTTTGCACCCTTAAAAACTACCCCTTGTCATAATAATAACGGAAAAAAATTTTTATTAGCTTTAATCATTTAGAAACTTTTTTATTGGTTATGATAAACTTTATTAATATATTCCAACCTTTATTAATTTTATTCTTTCCACATTTCCTGAACAATTTTTTCAGTGCTAATGTGACTGTCGAGTCACATCCAGAGAAACAATGAAAGAATAGAATATATACTCCTATGCATGGATAATTTAGCTCTAAGCTTTTTGAAGAATATATCACGGAATTAACATTTTGTTTTCCAAGTTTCAAAAAATAAATCTCTTCATCAGCTTTAGCTGGGCAGTTAAAATAACTAAAACATCAATGTCTTCTGCTACTATAACTTTTGGTAAACTTGAGCCCTCATCCTCAATTGTTGTCCCTACTATTAATTTGTCAGCTTCTCCTTTTCCTTGCTTGCGTTAAGTAGAATTTATGTTCAATGCTAAACTATATGAATGTATACGCTTCGGCCGATTGCATATAACTGAGTTTTGGTTCCTCCCTTTATCGATGAAGTGACCTTGAACTTTGCAGCTATATCTGTTGAGTTATACTGAAATATTCAATAGACACACATCATACTAGAAAGTCCCACTATGTTTTTGAGCAGATATACAGAATTCCTTTCACTAGCTTCTTCTATCTTCAAAATATACATACACACATGTATATTTCGTGAGCATATACCTATCGACACGTCTACTACGTATTACCTATCTTTTTTCCTATATATGTATGTATACAGATTGAACGAAATAAATTCGGAACATAAGAAATATTATGTATTTCGTCTCAATTTTGCTGTAGGTGGTTGGCCAACAAAAGGTTGTCAAATAATTATATTATAAAAATCCAATACTTCAGCGAGCTGCTGGATTCTATAATCATAAAAATTGAAAGCTTCACATAAATCTACGATTTTATTATGCTGTAAAACCTTCTTAAGGTATCCTCTAACTACTCACTAATTTTCATGAAAATCGATGGAGGTTCAACGAAATCGGAGTGAAAACCTTCAGTGACTGTACTACTGTCCTTTTTATGAAAATGTATTTCTTTTTCTCTCTTATTTATGTATTTCTCTTAATAGACAAAATTGAGTTAAATAAAAATGTATTGGCAGCTCTTAAGTTCATATTTTCAAGTATTAACTTTTGCATCTCTTCTTCTTTACGTGTTTTAAAATCATTTTCATCTACTTCTATAGCTTCTTTTTGGAACTGAGCTACTACGAAATCCGATGAATGGTGTACATTCCTTTTTAAACTTTTTACCACATATTCAGGGGTTATTGTCTCCGCGAAAAAGTTTTCACAATTTGCAACAAATCGAATATTGGTTATAGGACTAGAGTGCTTAAAAGTTTTAAGTATTTGATTGCGTTTGACATCCCAAGTGTAAACTACACAATCGAGACTTCCGGACGCTAAAATCGTTTGGGTAAAGTTTAAAGCTAAACAAACAACCCTATTAGTGTGTCCCTTAAACAACAAAGAAGTACTTTCGTCTACGTGATGAGTTAAACTTTTCACTGGTTCCTTGAGATTGTAACAACGGATGTCCCCATTTTCCATCCCAACGAACAACGAACCAAACCATGAATCAAATATAACGCTATTTAAGCATTCTCCAAAGGTTAGAATTTGAAGTAATTGACCATCTAACAGAGTATAGATCCGGCAAGTTTTATCAACAGAGACTGTTGCAAAACGGGATTTCCTACCAAAGACTCCTAAAAATAAAAAAAACAATTAGTTAAAAAAGATTGACTGCAGAGTAGAAATCATTAAAAATAAACATTGTAGTAGGCACGTAATTTCGTTGGAAAATTTAAGGGAACAGAGCGAGTAAGATACATAGCAAATTGACAACAGTGTTAGAGTGACCATTATGATATTCTACTGAACAGTAGCGTCGATATCTAATTTTAAATTAAATAAAAGTGATTATTTTGCAAACATTTGATTTTAAGTGTACATGGAACAGTCGTATGTCTTCAAATTATGTGGGTATCAGTAAAAATTTTATTTTACCAAAGTTTCATTTTCTATAAAGTTTAAATGAAAAATATGGGTTGTATCAACTTCTTATATACCTAGGTACTAATAACACTAATCTATTCGACTGAACAAAACTGTTAATAAGAGTACCTAATTGAACCACCAGTTAGAAGAAGGGAATGAAATCCAAAAAGTAGATTTTCGGGAAATCAATAAAAACTGTTTATTCGTTCTATTTAATTTTTTCTTGTTTACTAATGACATCTACTATAAAGTACAGTTTATATAAGTTAATTTGGATTGGAGAAAAACCATCCAGTGATTTTCGTTATCTAGAAAGACGATAAAGAAAATCTTGGATTTATTCCTTTCTTACAACTTATATTTTTTGACATGAATAAAGACACAAAATTGTATGAAAAAGCTTATTTTATTTAAAGTAATTTATAAAAAACAAACAAATACACAAAAAAAAACATTTCCCTAAACTACCCTTCTTCCTCAATGATATTATCTGATGCAGTAGTTGGCCATGTAAGAATGTTTTCATAAAATTCTTTTTTATCTTCTGGAATATATCGGAATTATTTTCCGAACGTCTTCCATCTTTTTCTCATTTATTGGTATTTTTGCCCTGTATGCTCTGGTAGTAGGCAATGAAGGGATCACCCCATTTTTTTGAAGTAGAAACCTCTGTTTCAGAAAACCATCTATTTGTTCTGAAACTGTTACGTAGCCTTTATGGGAAGAAGAATACTCTAAATATCTATATTTGGATATCATAAATGTAGATGTTTTTTCCACCGACTTACACGTTTTTTTGTAATAATTTTCCAAGTGTTTTTAAAGTCGAATATGTCGTCTGAGGTGATTGTTGTTACCGAAAATCCTCTTGTTTTGACAGTAGAGATCATTATGTTGTATTCCTCTGGTACGTAAATCCTATCTTTTCTCCTGATAAGTCTTTTTGCTGTTCCGAAATTCCGATCGCACTGTAAAAACGAATGTCCACGCACAGGAAAGTACTGATACACTTTATCGAACCGTCCAGTCGAAACCAACATGAGCATGGACCGTATCAGGGCATTGTTTCTATTCTGTCCTCCGCAAGCGTCACTAAACACGTGAAGTTCGTTTATAGCAAGATCCATATTCTGAATTGTCTTCCAAATTAGGCTACATACATCATCAGGTCCTCTTTTAGCTACTCCTTCATGGTACGTGTAAAAATCTGCACAATTTGATTTCAAATCGTGGACACAAAACACGTAAAGCCATAGTTTTCTGAGATAGAACATTTCCTGTACTGGTATTTTTGGAAGCGGAAGGTTTTGCATGTAGTCGAAAACAATAGCTCCGACATTTTCCTTTTCTTGACATGGCCTCAACACTTCTTGCTGCTTCAGGTAAAACTTTTTAGCTCGTCTCAGATGTACCATCTTTTCTGCAACTGCTACACGCTTGGCGTTTTCATTCAGCGTTTGACTTCTTATTTTAGCCTCAAGTTCTTCACAAGTTGAACAAATGTCAACCTGTGGTCTTCCAAATCTGTAGCCATGATTATCCATTATAGTATTTTCTAAAAAAATCGTATTTAACGATGTTGGCAAGTTCGGAATACTTTTTGCAAAAGAGTTCATGCATTATCTTCACATCGAGGTTAGCATCCAAATATTGAATTAATCTGGTGCTGTAATGTGATTCTTTTAACGGAAAGAATCACATTACATTACATCACACATGCCTACAGCATGTCGCCGTAGGCCGCCAAAAAACACGTGACAAACAGAATAAACCGTAAGTTTGAAGAAAGAAATAATTCCCTTTATTTATTCCCTTCTTAAAACTGTCGCACATTTAGTGTTGGAATATCTCCGTAACTTATACGGTGTTTATTCCCTACTTAGCGCGGACAGATGGGTCTTACCTTAAAAGGTATATTTTTGTTAAAAAGTCGTTTCGCCATATTTTGGCGTTTATTTCCCTTCTTCTAACTGGTGGTTCAATTATCCTATACAATTAAACAGTATGATCAAATATTTACGTTTTATGAACACAAATGCTCATAAGTATTAAAACTTCCTATTTTATCCCTGATAACTTTTATGTTATTGTATTCAGAAAAAAAATAGAGAATTCATTTTTTAAATTAAATACATGGTGTTCTATTGAAGAACAACAACTTTCGTTCGACATCGTGTTAGAGAAGAGTTATTGCCTCCATAATTTTAAAATGGGTAAGAGGTCTATAACTTTTATTAACATTTTTTTTAAATATACTTAACAGGTATTTTATAATAACGTAACCAATACTTTGATTATTTTAAATTAAATATTTTGTACCTTTTTGTTCTATCAAGAAGTGTGTTTTTACTCTATTTTCAAAGATATATAAGCAAAACGAGAATTTCTACAATTACAATAAAAATAAAGGTTTCAACCATGGACGTATAAACACAGATGGACTCAGTTTATTTACATAAAATTGTGAAGTCAAAATTATTTGAATAGGTCACATTCTCAGCACCTTCATGTTGTCACGTTTTGTTTTAAAATTTCTTATTCGCGAGTCGCTGAAAATATTACTCCGTATTTTATACTCTACAGGTGCTATCAAACCAAAACAATAATTTATTGGTTAGATTAATATATTTAATTGTAATCAAAATATAAAGTGTACACATAGTGTGCATTATCATTTAATAATAGCGTATAATAGATATCAATCAATTATTTTATATGTAGAAGCACTGAAAACTATTTATAAATGGCAACGGTTGTTTACATTTCTCTGTCTTATGGATCTCCGTCAAACTTCAAATGCTGTTCCATGTTTGTTTACTTTTTAGTAAAAGTTGTTTTTCGATATTTTGGCTGTATTTTGAGTGATATTTGTGAAAAGTGAAATAAAATAAACGAAATATTTACATCCCGATCTCTCATTTCATTTGTAAGTACATACAATTACATTATTTAAGATGAGGAAATGAGGAAGCGTGTTTGTTTACATTTTAATAGGCGTACCATTGGGTTTATTCATGTTCATTAATGTATTGAATAAGATATAAGTTCATGAAATTAGTAGACATTTTTAAATTGTAAGTAGACATCATCTGATTAAAAAAGATCTGTGTAGTACCTTTTTAAAACGTGTTTTTATACATTATTACTACTTCCAGTTTTTAAAATCTGAATAATTACCCGCGAGTAAAAATTCAAGCACGATTATGCTCATTGCGGAAGTATCACATTCTATGGAAGCTTCAAAACATTGTGTGTTAAAGGTATCTTATTGCTGTGTCCATCTATGTTTATACGTCCATGGTTTCAACTAACACCTAATTAGAATTAAGCACTCGCTAATCTACTCAGAGTCACTGATATCACTAGTATCACTCGTATCTTCTAAATTTATAGTTAGTTTGGTTAATGCTGGTAAATAGTTCTCTTCTTATTAACTGGAAAACAGTAGACGAAAATTTAGGAGCCACGTTTCCTCTCATTATATTTTCTTTAAGTTGAGCCCATATTAACTCCATTGGGTTCAATGTATGGAGGAAATCTAAGCACGGTATGCCCATTACTGCGAACACAGTCATGAACAAAATATTCCTTCTGCTACTGTCTACTATGAGCAACCTCCAACAATTGCTATTTACTATATGATGCCCCAAAATACAAATCTTCCTCAAATAAAAATTCCTGAATTTGTAATTTGTTCCAAGTACAAAGTACAAGTACAAAGAGGTAAAAGGAAGGGTACAAATAACAGGGGAAAGATCGGAAGCATTTAATTGGAAGAGAGGTATTAAACAAGGAGATAGTCTCAGCCCTTTGCTATTCATAATAGTAATGAACGAATTGTTAAGAAACACTAGAATCAGAACCAATCAACTACAGACAATAATAGGTTACCACAGATTACAACCGGTAACAATAGAGTCCTTAATGTATGCAGACGACATAGTACTAATAGCAGATTCCGAGAATAAAATGCAGAAACTAATGGATATATGGGTAGAACAAATAGAAGAACTAAAAATGGAGATAAACGAGAAAAAAAGTAAGATAATGATAATCAGCGGCAATGGAGATCAGGAAGATAATCAAATAAAAATAAAAATAAAAATAAAGATAAAATGTAAAAACTCAGAATTGGAAATAGTATCAACTTACGAATACCTGGGAAGTATATTAACTAATTATGGAAAAATAGACTGGGAAATAACAAATAGAGCAAAGAAATCAAACAAGTTATACTATGCGTTAGCCCCAATAATGGGAAAAAGAGAACTTACACGAGAAACAAGAATAAAAATATATAACACAATAGTGATACCGACTGTGCTCTATGCAAGTGAAAACTGGACAATTCTGGAAAAACATAAGAGCAGGATAAACGCAATGGAGATGAGACATCTAAGAAGGATAGTTGGAAAGACAAAATGGGATAGATTAAGCAACGAGACTATTAGGAGAATGGCCAACCAGGAACCGATAATGAACAAAATAGCAGAGAGACAAATGAACTGGTATGGGCATCTGACGAGGATGCAATCCAATAGAATAACAAAAAAAGTTTATGAAGCAAAAAATATCGGAAAAAGAAAAAGAGGAAGACCAAGAAAAAATGGATACAGCAAGTAGTAGAGGCGGGAAAATTTAAACAAAAATCACTCGAGGAATTGAAAATAATGGCAGGAAACAGAAAAGAATGGAAGAGGTGGGTAAATGGAAATTAAAATAGCTAGCCCAAATCCGACACCCTAATAGGGTAAGAGGAAGGGGAGAAAGAAAGAAAGAAAGAAAGTTCCAAGTTATATTTGGAATATTTCTCATTATTTTTGAATGGTGGTATGATGCGTTGTCCATACACAGTCCTTCATAAACATGATTCAGCATACGTTTGGCATCATCAGAGAGGTATTGGACATGTCGCTTACGTTTATTACACAGCTTTGTAAATCTTCCAATTGATTAGAGGATTACACTGGCTCTTCAGATGCACAATTATTATCACACTGCGGACGCCACCTTTTAAAAGTATCTTCGTAAAATGAAAAAAGAAGTTTGGAAAGAACACTGATGAAGATACAACCAAACTCACTTGCAGTTCTCTATTTGAATTTGTCTGAACGCTGTTATAGTTATACTAAAAATATTCTTGTTTCGCGAAATCTGATTTTACTGGTTTAAAAATAAAACATTATACCTACCTACCCCAATGTAAACCACTGGGCGGTTAAAACGTGATGTATTCTGATAAACTACTTTATAGTTTCGGTCGCTCAGGCAAATATTGTTATATATTACCCGAGTGATGCATAAGTCTGCCGATACATGCCGATGAAAACTTCAACTGGATGACTGCCCATATTTTCAAATATAATACCAGGCACATCTGAATGTAAATATCGATGAGAATATTAAAACGTATTATTATACGTTCCAGCCATTGATAAGTTTGCAGTTAATAACCACTTTTGGCTGATCATTTTTATTTTAATTTTTATTGCCTGCTTTTATTACAGATAAATATATTTTTACAAAGTCTCGCCGAAATACGAGGCGACTATACTAAAGAGTATTTACGCAAAAAAGTATTTGCATAACAAATGAAAAACAGACAACATTGTCACATTTCTTACGTGATTTCTGTTCGCAAATATGTATTTTGTATTTATATTAAGTTAAATTATGTCAAACCGACTGCTTATCACCGAAGATATAATTATTGTATGTCGTTTATTAACATGAACAAATGTGACCATAAAAAGGATGTGACATGCTTTGTAGCCTATAAGGTTTTAACACTGGCATCTCTTCTTTTTTATTTATTTTAAAATAATTTAAATCTACTGTTTGTAACGTAGTTACTATTAAAGCCGATGATTGATCTAAATTCATTTCTAAACATTTTACCATATATTCAGGTGTATTATCAACAAATCGAATATTGGTTATAGGACTAGGCTGTTTAAAAGTTTTGAGTATTTGGTTGCGTTTGATATCCCAAGTGTAAACTACACAATCAAGACTCCCGGACGCTAAAATAGTTTAGGAACTGTTTAAAGTTAAACATACAACCCTATTAGTGTGTCCCTTAAACAACAAAGAAATACTTTCGCCTATAGGATGAGTTGAACTTTTTACAGGTTCCTTAAGATTGTAACAACGGATGTCCCCACTTTTCATTCCAACGAACAACGAACCAAACGATGAATCAAATATAATGCTATTTAAGCATTCTCCAAAGGTTAAATTTTGAAGAGAGACCGTTACAAGACGGGATTTCCTACCAAAAACTCCTAAAAAGCTAATTAGTTAAAAACGATTGACTGCAGTATAGAAATCATTAAAAATAAACATTATTAAATATTACGAGATCCCATTGCTCTGCTAATACGTGCATGTAGCGTGCTGACCTACATGCATGTTTCTTTATATAAAATTAAAGCTATTTTTTTTATTATTAATATATAACGTTTGCCTGAGAAAAAATGGTTGCAAGTTAGGGTTGCCAAAAACGCGAGGTATCAAAAATAAAGTAAAAAAGAGCTACCGCCTACCGAGATTGGTTTGACATGGCTAGTGTCAGTTGTGTGAGTTTTTAAAGCATGCTTCGATAGTGTTAATGGACTACCTTAGACTGACGTCAAAATGGGTAGGACTAGTAGGACCTTTCCAAACATATCTAATTCCTGTGTATTTGTCCCATAAGCCCTTTGAAATATTAATTTTAAATTGTTTGAAGAGTAAATAAGGACTTTTGGTTATGAACATTTATTCTACGCGATTGGTATTATTTGTTTATCGTGAACTTGTGAGGTAAGAATGTCAAAGTATTAAGATATTTGCTCTCACTGTTCATGTTTTAAGGTTATGTTAGTGTTCGATTAAAACTTTAACTATTTTTTTACTGTATGTCAAGGTACTTTGTTGTTGTTTTTATCAGGGTTATTTCAAAATAAATCAATAAATCATTGAATTTATTTAAGAAGTAAATACAATTAATACGTTTATTTACGAAAAATATTTAAATTAATGTTTTATTTGTTTTTAGTTGAGAGTGATTTTATCTCGTAAAAGACAGATATTCGTTTTCTAGTAGTTTAAATAGTGATTAAGGACATTTGGTTGTAATATAACATTCTGTGGAAACCTTTCTATCAAATAGAGTGTTTAAATGTTGTAATACTTTTTGAGATTATTATTTTTTAGATCTGGGCATATAATGGCTAACAAACACGTGTTGAAGATATCCAGGATTACTGAATTTTCTCTAATTACTCTTTTAACTTCAAAATCTATCCTATGGCGAACAGTGCTCAAACAGATCAATTTATTTTCAATTTCCCCCTTCTAATGGAATTAATTTTATTTTTGTTTTATTGACATCAATAACGATTCTTTCGAAATAGAAACCGTTTAAAAAAGGTATATATATATATATAATATATATATATATATATATATATATATATATATATATATATATATATATATATATATATATATATATATATATATAATATAATATATATATATATATAATATAAATATACCTTTTTTAAACGGATGAATACGGAGAATATAAATATACCTTTTTGATGTTTCAGGAGATATATATATATATATATATATATATATATACATATATATATATATATATATACATATATAATATATATATATAATATATATATATATATATATATATAAATATATATATATATATATAATATATATGACCACCAATAATTTAATAGTCTTTAGTTTTTACAGAAAACCCTTGAACTGATCTATATTATTTTACCTCCCAAATTCTGAATTGATTGTTTAATTTTCGTAGACCTGATATTTTATGGAAAATGCCGGAATTCGTTAATTTACTTTTCTAATTTCGCACATTCTAATAAAATTCATTTGTTTTTTATTGGCATATTAAGTTAAAAATATGAAGGCATCGAGATTTTTATTAAATGACAAATTATCAATTGAAAGCTTTTGTATATTTTTTATAAAAATAGTCTGTTCTCAATCGGGTGAAATGCAGTCACTTGGCTTAGTCACATCTTCCATTCATGCATCATACCCACTTCAGAATTCTGGAACCCTGTACCAGCTTGAACAGGTCATTTTTTTGTTCCCTGGGCGCGTCTAATCCAAAATCTATGTTATCACTGAAGCTGAAGCTTATTATTTTTGCTGCTCATTATTGTTTTCTACATCCAGTCTAGAGTTTTTGTACCCTGTACAAGGTTGTATAGGTCTTTTGCTTGGTGTATACTAAATATACCAGTGTCTCCTGTCCCATATAGTTTTTGTCTTTTGCAGTCCAGCAGACAGCAGTCTTTTGCTGTCTTAAGTTCTCCATTGTAAATGCTTTTTTATTCAGGAATTCTCTTACTCATGCGTGCTCATCAACATTTCTGTTACCATTCTCGGTTTATTCCTGCCCATATGACGCAATTCCTCTGTTCTTTTTGTACATGGGTACACCAATGAAGCTTTTCCCATGTGTTTATTTTGAGATTATCAAACATCGAAGCTACCCCAACATCGAAGTTACCATGACTTTCTCGGACCCAGTTCTCTAAAGATCTGCAGACTGTAGCCTTTGGTGCTCCAAGGGTCACAGCTGGTCCGTTAGGTCCGTTCGATTCTGTTTTAGCACGATATTCTGCTTTTTCATAGCCTTCAATGCCCTGATATCAAGACAAACTCAACCTTATTCCGGTCTCCTAGGACAGGTCTAGTGAATGGGCATCATATACTCTTGGAGGCCCTTGGTAGTCTCCAAAACGCGCCTGCCACCTGAGATCTAATGTCTAACAGACATGCAAAAAATGTATTACTTTATTTCTATGGCCCCACACATTAACAAAGATATCGGGTTTTTACACTTTTTTAACTGAGATTGTAAAAATTATATGTAATTAATTTTATTTAATTTAGTTAAAAATTTTTAATAAAAAATATACATCAGAATCAATTAACAATAAAATTAATTTTATTTATTTACTTACCAATATGTATATCTTTAATCGCCATAGAATTATCTCTTTTTATGTAGAGTGGTTCAGCTTTTCCAATATCAGATTGTTGCATGAAATTATTCGAAAGTGTTACCAAATCACCTATACAGTATACAATCAGCATTCCATCTTGACCTCCTATTACTAAAAATGTTCCATCACTTGAAAACTTAAGGCAAGTAATTGGTTGATAGTTCTTTTGTTGTATAGATAAAAGATTTCCAGATGAAAGGTGCCATGTGTAAAGTTTGCAATTAATTCCTGCTGCTAGAAAATCATTGAATGGAGAAACGGCTAAACAATTTGCTGGTTCTGGTAGAACAAGTCTAAAAATAACTATTATTTTACAAAACATACAGATGAAGCGAATTGCAGTAAATATCCTTGTTATAATGTAAAATATGTTATACTAAAAGATAAATAGAATTTGACATTTTCAGGAATAGCAAAATGTGGATTCAACCTCTCGCAACCAATGCGGGAATTGCTATTAGACCATCGAGTCAACATACTTTATTTATTTTTTATACTAAAAAATTTAACTTTATGTATATTTTTCCAACAATAATATTTTTTACCTTTCATATATTGACCCCAAATTTAATAAGGTTGTTCAAACCAAGAAAATCTATGTACCAAGACCCTAGAATAAGGATCTGTTGGGTTCTTAATAACCCACAACCAAAATTTATATAAAAAAGTATACTAAATAATAATATAGATTCACAAGAATTCTTCGTTATAGCAAAAACAGCAATATAATAACATGGGATCACTACAGGGTATGTAGTAATTATTACCAAAGTCAGTCTATTTAGTCCTCATGATTTGACTTCCTCTCCTATAGGGAGTGTTTCCTAATATACCTCTGACTTGTATATACATCCCCATGCTATATACACCTGTTTAGGCAGTGGATGTAAAGAGAAACTAGTTAGAACCTGTGAGGCCAGATATCTGAGGTGACCTTGTATTTTAAGCTCACTTGAAATACAGGATAGTTGTAGGTAAAACTTGGTGATTAAAACCAAATGTGATCTGTTGTACAAACAGTCAACAGCAACATGTAGATCATGTAGTGTACACAAAGCAAAAGCTGAAACTTTTTATGATAGAAAGAGATCTGCCCGTAAGAAAGCAATAAAAACAGTTGAAATGGAAGCCATTGCTTTAGAATACCAGAAGAATCTAAATCTTCCTAATATTACAACAAAGATGCATACTATAAAAGACAATTAACTTTCATTTCTCCTAATATTCATGTGATGTCAAGTAATCAGCCAATTTTTTATTGATATCCAGAGACAGTTGGAGGAAAAGACTCAAATGAGCTAGACTCATTTCTTCATAATTTTATATTTTTTGTGTCTTAACGAAAACGCACGTCACTTAGCCATATTTTCCGATTCATGTGGCGGACAAAATAAAAACTTTACAATGTTCCGTTTCCTACACTACATTGTTCACTTTGCTAAGAGGCTATCAAGCATTACCGTCACTTTTCCAATGCGTGAGATCCTCAAGATTGGATTACTGAAATTCTTACGTGCAGGACCACGCCTAGTACATTTCAGGTGATTGAAGTAGATCAACCAATGATTAGGGATTGGTCAACACTACTGGATTGTTATTACAAAATGAAATGTCCATTTGAATCAAGACCTAATAGAGAGTTTAAAATTTCTGAGGCTCATCCTCGAATAGTGGAACACAGATCAAGTTACAATGGGCATTGGGAATCTTCTGTGATTCGTGAACAAACCAAAGACCTAACTGAAGTATACCCAAAAGGCCAATTTGAGTTGCCACAAAAATTATACAACGGTGAGTAATATCATTATTATTATTATTATTATTGTTTTTAAAAAATGTTTCTTTTAGCACTTTTACCAATATCTTTCCATTTTGTGGACTAAAATCAAAGACATATTTTGAAAATTTACCAGTCGCAGAAGTCATTAATCAATAAAAGAAAAGAAGAATAGTTTTTAAGTTATATAGTTCTAAATGAGTATCTAGTTATTTACGAGTAAATACTGCGAACATGTTTTTATTTGTCTACACTGGAATATACAGTATTTGTATTCACTCCTGATATGATCTTTTTTGGATACACCACACCCTCTCCTTAGAAAATCCATTTCTACTACTTCTATTCATTTTCTATCTTTTTTCGTGATCTGCCAAACTTCTGCCCCATAAGTCATAATAGGCTCTAACAAAGTTCGATAGATGGTCAATTTCGTTTCTTGTCTAGTATCTTTAGACAATAGTAGAAAGTTAAGAATAGTTACCTCTTTTTTTACCTGCTGCATTCTTCTTCATCGATCTTCATTACATGTTTTTATATTTCTAATTTCTAACTCTGGACCTTCTTCATCATCTCGTATTTTAAGATAATCGGTCTTTGACATATTCATATTGAGGCCCCATTTTTCATATTCTTTCTTTAGTTTTCTAAACATGTAGTCCATTTCTTCCTCATCATTCGCTACGATTACCTGATCATCTGCGAAAAATAAAGTTGTTTAGACATTTACCACCGCCTATGTCCATTCCTATTCCGGATCATTGTTTCCTCCACTGTTCTAGCGATGATTAAATATATATTTTAAATAAGGTTGGAGATAGACAACATCCTTGTTTAAGCCCCTTTTTATTGGAAATGATTCAGATATAAACTTTCCTTCTTTAACAACACTTCTTGCATTTTTGTATATATTTGCGATAGTATCCACATACTCTCTACTGAGACCTACTTTCGTCAATGTTTGAAACAGTTTTTTCAAAGGTACCATATTGTATGCCTTCCCTAAATCTACAAACAATAGGTGAGAAGATAGATTCCTTGCCTTCCGTTTTTCGATTATCTGCTGCAGAACGAATATACCATCAGTGTATGATTTTCCTGCACAAAATCCATTTTATTCTTCTATGTCTTTGTATTCTGATTCTATTTTTTCTTTTATGATTCAACCATACAACCTCTCCTGTGAGTTGATAACAGTTATTACCCTATAATTAGAGCATTTGCGTTTATCTCCTTTCTTGAATATTGAGCTGATGTATCCCAAACTCCAATCACCAGGGAAATTTTGTTAAATGTTAAGCATTTGTTAAATAGTTGAACTAACATCTCATGTTAATATTTTTTGGTCCATACTTTACCAACTCAATTGGGATGTCTCCAGATGTCTGCTTAAGAGTAAAATGGAACGACCATATAAGCCAAATGACAACAAATAGAGTAGTAAAGATGGCAAAAGACTGTTCCCCAATAGAAAGATCATTAATTTTACTATTAATATTAGTAATAAAAAAATGTAATAACTGTATGTGTTTAACCAACAAATATAGCTATATTCCTTGGTTTAATCTTACATTTATTTAGTGATTAAATAAAACAGATAGATACATACATCTTATGTTGTGGGAACTATGTATCGCTACAATTTAAAAGCATAAGTTACTATCTGCTAATTTAATCATTTGTTTTTAATACCAAATGTTCATAATAGGAATATCATTGATTCTTACCTTATGAATGTTCCAAAATCACACAGTATATGATGCACAATAAATTTTGTGATATTAAAAGAGATTTTGTAATAATGTATTTCAGTGGTTAGGTTCCAGTGCCACAAAAAACGGGAAAAATGTCAGATAAGACACTATGCATGTACATAGTAAATATGCATGTGGTTTCTATATAAACTTTGTAATAATGTAGTTGATTGTCAATGATTTTCATGATTTCATAGATCCAGATTTCATAAATCTAGATTTCATAATTCCATAGATCGAACTCTATATGACCAACATTTATTATCCCCATAATTTGTATTGCATCTAATAAAGTACCTATGTGATACAGATTTAGTTAGCTGTGCACATAATCAATTTAAATCCAAATTATAGTATGTAATCATAAATAAGCTGCTACCCTTGCCTATAAGACTGATATTTTTGTAATTGTAATAATTATAATTTTCTACTTCTATTTTATATTTATACAGAAGTCCATAAATAAATCATTCATTTATTGATACATGGCTGTTCGATTAATTAAAACATTACTTGTTAACAAATGATTTCCAATTTTTACATTAAAAATTATTTCAAGTATTTGCCAATTACAAAAAAATATTTTTAAAATTCCCTATACATTTCTCTAAATACATACCTTATTTCTTTCAATACATCTTGACTGTTTAACAACCATAAATGTAACAATGGTTTACCCAACTGAGAAGATAAAAAGTAATCTTTTCCTATTAGTTCAAAGCAATTAGGGGCAACAGTGCCACCGTTTTTATAGTACTTTCGTACATTTTGCGTGTTATAGTCCCATAAACACGCAGAAAATTGTTGATCAGATTGTGCTGTTGTTACTAAAAAGTCAGATATATCCTTCGTAGTCATATTTGTTACGAATTTGAAATGAACTTAAATTACCAATTCAATACTAAACATGTGAGTTGTAAATACCATCCAAACTTGAATAGGACTACTCATTAACTCTTTATATTATTCAAAATCAAAAATGAAAACAATGAAAGGTTAATAGCGGTACTTCCTGCTTGATAGATAACCTAACTTAATTCTTCTTTTTTGTCGATGACTCTGTCTCTACTCGGTCTAAAAAAAACAAAAACTCTGGTGGCAACTCTGTAAATAGTTCATAGATACCACCGAACAAAAACGGTGATCAGATCAGAGCATAGACACGCATAGAGAATAAATTATGTCTATGGATCAGAGCCGGCTTCGGCACAGAATAATTAACAATTGCTTTATTATTTTGAGTAATAGTTCAAGATAATAAAAAAAAATTATTAAGATTCCATTTATGTGATTTTATCATAAAACTGATAAAACGTTTAAGAACTTTTTGGTTATATTTTTCGCACAATTTTTATTACAATTAATTGTGGTTAATCACATATGAACACAATATTTAACATATAAAAATATTATGTTGTACCTATGTTATGATACGACAATAAATAAATTTAATAAAAAGTCTAAATTTATAAATCACAGTCACGTTGTTCTTATTCTGAAAAGTCACTGTTATTGGTATCCTCGCCATAGATTCCTTTTTTTTTATTGTATGGAGAAATGAAATATTTTTATTCTATTTTTTTTACATGCTCGATAGAATTTTTCCAATTGTCACTAGTTGTAAGGTTAAATGCATTTCTTAGAAGGTACATTAATTAAAGAAGAAATGTACTTCGGAGAAAAGTTATTTCTCTTAATACTGACCAAAAGAAAGCTATAGGGTTGTTTAAATTTGTTTAAAAATATTATATTCGATGTAAATGTAAATTCTTAGCCATAAGTTTTAATTTGCCTAGACGGTAACCCTGTAAGCCCTAGGCAAAGTCGTTACAATTTTATAATAGTATCACAGAATACAGGGTGGTGTATTCTGTGGTAGTAGTAGTATGTTTCCATATTTTGCCATAAGAGCACAGTAAAGAACGTGTGAAGAGATTTCATCTAATAAGGTATTTCTTCACCCTAGCGATCAACTATTTACCACCACGATTAACTAGCGACCAATCAATTTCAATTAACAATTTTTAAACAAGGGCTGAGTGTACAATAATTGGGTGCTA